CGATCATTCCAATTGAATGGCCTATACCTACCACCGACGGTATATCAATATATACGTGGAATGTTTCAAAATTTCAGTTGTTGATATAATTTAATTACCATAATTTTTTATTGTTGAGGGAAGAGTGTTTTGAATCTTTTGTGCTTATAGAAATTTCTTATCAAAATAAAAGGCCATTTAAATTTTATTTATTCCAGGATAAAAGCATGATTAACGATGAAGAATATCTTCATTGATAAAATACCCAGTAGCTTTAAAAGAATTGGGGGTTATATGATGACATATTCCATATTCCATATTTCAAGGTTACAGTAGCTATACTTTGAATTTTTGTTCTAAATTCAATGTGGGTGTCAAATTGAAATATCGTTTTGTTTTGTATATCATATTGAAATATCGCCACGTCCACGTCGTTTTTAATGATTTTATTTACCACTTTTGGGAAATCGTTGTGGAATGAACATACCTTCACCCGTATAGTGATTGTTCATAAGATTTTATTAGAGGAGACAGCTGGGAGCTATCGCGCGATCGATGTTTGTTGAACGTGAACGAAAGTTCGCTTCCGGGGTTAATAAGTGCATGGATAAGAGATGTTTGAAGGGGACCTTAATAACGCATGCACCGCAGTTGCTCCTTTGACGAAGCTTGGTAACTAATAAATGAGAAATGAACATTCGATTGGACTTATATTTTATTAAAGTTAATAAATTACATGACGTTTTAAAGTTTTTAACGATATATGAATGTAACTATGACCTATCACAGACAAGTACAACCCATAGTATTTTTTAAAAATATAAAATGAAATCATGTGAGTCAAATATTAAAACAATAATAAAAGATTTAAAGATCATCACAGCACAGAAACAGTTGGTGAAATAGGAACGACTCGTAGTTTATAATCTTTGAAGTTGTACAAGTAGGTGTCTATATTTTGCTTATTCAGTGTTTGCTGTAAGAATGCATTGTTATTTTGACAAGTACTAGCTTGGTATGTCGTTTGACAAGGAGCTAACCGACCGTTTAAGGCTTTACATCATCGCTTAAACTTTAAAAAGAGTTCTCAAAAGTGTACTTCAAAGTGTACTTCATCACTTTGCAGCTTATATAGTCGCTAAAATCATTGAATAAAATAAATAATCGAAAAACAACATTCGACGTTTAGTGCTTGTATGGTTATTATAATTATTTGTGCTGTTTTGATGTTTTGAAGGTTTAGCTATAGAAAAGTTTAACACTCACTTAAACTGCAACGTAATGCAGCAGGCAAACAGGTGATTTCTGTTCACCTTTACGACTGTCTTTGTTTCCGAAAAATTTGCACGAGTTATTTCATAATATTAGCGTAGAAAGTTAGGTCTGGGTAGCGCACGAAATATTTTGCTTCGTTTAAAATGGCGAGGGGTTGCTGCATGCATGTATTTCTAGTATAGTATTGTTGAGATGGCGACCCCTATTGTGTACGGTAGTGTCGGGCTCTATACCCGTTTGCCTGCTTTCCTCTGACCTGCCTGCAGGCACGGAATGTTAGGTTACACAGGCTAGGGTCCCTTGGAGGAAGATGGCCCGGCGATTATGAAACAGGCTAAAATACCTGTATTCAGTATGCAGCGCTGTGGCTATATTTACGATGCATGTTCAGTTGGCTACCACTCTGAAAAGCTAGATTGACACAACATTTTGTATGTAGTGTTGACGGAAGGTGACAGCTGATGGGTGCCGTGATTTGGAGATTCAGCTGTGTCAGTCCAACTTAAAAAGATGAATAATCAAGTGACCTTATGAGCAGTTAAACTCAGTTTATTGATTAAATCATCCCAAAGAATAATACACATTGACGTAATCCGTGCTCAAAATGAAATTCAAACGAACAATATAATAATAGAATAAACAAACAAACTTCACTAAAACTTCATTCAGCAAGCAATCTATGAGAGCCATCTTTTTTGATATTTATTTTCGCGCGCTTTGTGTTCGCATTGTTGGCGTTCTATGGCAAGGCACAAGGACACGATCTAGTCCAATAACTGTGTTTTGTGGATTCAATTTCGAAATAATATTTAATTCAATAAGAATGTCAACAGTTAAAGTTACGTATTGAACACCGAATATTGGGAATTTTGCGAAGCTTTCCGACAAACCGATCAGGAACGAGAATACACATGAAAAAAGTGTTTAATGAATGATAAATATGTTCAATGAATGATACATTTCGTGTGCAGATATATATAGTATGTACATGTGTTCTAAACATTATACCATCGTGCAGCAACAGTACTAACATGATTATTTTTTTATCCCTATGAACTACACAGGACACAGCGACCCTGTTGTATAGAGTGCAATAAATGATGAGTTTTTATCGATTATTCGTTCTTAGTGTGCATGCCACCCGCTTCCCGTGCTATCTAGCCGGGAACAATGTAAATTGCTATAGGTACTTAGACAATTGAACTATATGTGGACATTCATACCACAATCACCGAGGCAGGGTTTGACTGAGAAATTTAGTGCTTCCAAACTGGATTTTAAATTTGCGCAGTGATAAACTTTTTTATACTTATTGCTTAAATAGGCGAATGGTTTCTTTTTGCCATCTTCACATATTTTATACACCAAAGCCCCTGAATCACCTCTTGTTGCGAAGGCCGTTTCATCTTTCGCTTTTCTTATTCTGTAAAAGCCGTTGTTCATGCCATTGCGTAATGGCATTCCTTCAATTGAAAACAGCTTTCCTCTTGTATCCTTTGTCACTGAGCCAAATTTCCCAACATCAACTCCGCCTTTTTCTTTTACTTCCTTTGCAAACATTTCCTCGACTTCCTCTTCACTGAGCAAAGTTTCCCAAAAGTTGTTTTCTTTAAGAAACTCGACCACATCGTTGCAATTTAAATTTTGATCAAGTTTAATGAGGCCTATATCGTGTTTATCGTTGTATAATCCACGAGCGTAAGTACCAAGGTTTTGAATTCCGACTTCAGATGTATACTTATAACTGATGCCAGTACATTCCGGTGAGCCATTATCACAGTCTTCCTTCAAATCCTCGTGCATTTCGAACAAGTGTCCCCATAATTCTCCACCGAAGCACACATGATAGCAGGTGATTGCGTAGTGTTTTGATATGTCCTCTCCCTCAACACCAAGAATGCCTATTGTTCCAAACCGACCATCTAGAAGTACATCTGATTCAAGCTCATGCCCTGTTCTTGGTCCATTAAGAAAACAAGATTCACTGTCATCGTCTTGTTCTTGGATGAAATCAACAAAGCAGTAAATGTTATCACCAAATATTTCTTTCAGATCGTCCATCGACGGCTCTTCGTTTTGGGCAGCAGTGATGTATATTTTCCATGTCTTATCTTTTTCGATATCAAAAGCCACATAGAAATCTTGTATCCAGGGTAAACTAAGGAACATGGAAAGGACACTTCATTTGTGGTAAATCAGATACTATAAATTCGACGTGAATTAAAATATCTCTATTCCTTTTTTCATGACTCTATTACCTCGACAAACTATCCTTGTATTCCTTCTTCAATTTAGGTCGTTTGTCTGCAAAAATATTTCTTTCAAACCACTCAGTCTTCGGGACTATAAAATTCATAACGTTCAAACCATTAATCAACTATATTATAGGCATAAGAAGTGTTAAAGTTAGATTGGCACGAGTAAAACATTGCCCGAAATGCAGGCCGGTAAGCGGTGAGGTGTGTTCGCTCATGCAGTTCAGTTTTCAGCTTATTATTTTGATCAGTGTCGCTTAATTAGAGAAAAGAATATGACAATTGTTTTTATGTTATAAAACAGATGTAGTCCGATTGTAAAAAAAACATATACTTTTATCGTTATTCCAAAACTGGTAGTTAATTTAGTGAATGATATTTACACTTTTCATAAGTGATGAATGGGAGGATTTCATCGCCAAATAGTTCCAGGATGTCGGCGATACAAGGAACTTTGTTAAAATTTAGGACAATTTTTATGCGACGTTTATCACACTCTTCATTTGCGTCGATAACTTTAAAACTTTCCACCCATTTAAGCCTATTAAACGAGAAATATTTATTGTGAAAATTCGGAAACAATTAAAACCTGTCCAATCTTCCATTCAGCCTTGATATAATATTCTAACCAAAGAGGATGCATATTTTTGAAGTGGCATTGAAAAGCAGTAGAAAAATGTTGTTTGAACAATATTTGTGTTATTTTTATCATGACTTGGTCTCCGCCCTGATTAGTTAGTTACCTTGACAATCCATCTGCGAATATCTTTTTCAGTTTAAAATTTTCATCCAATATAGTACTTTCAAACCAATCGGCTTTCGAGGCTATAAAATTTATAAAGTAAGTATCTATTGTACTTAAATTTGTAAACCGCGGGCCTAATTAACGACACATACCCTTCTTGTACGTTATGAAGGGAAGGACTTCTTCGCCGAATAGTTCCACAAGATCATGGGTACAAGGTACTTTGGCGAATTTTAGGGCAATTTCTAAGCAATGTTTACTCCCTTTCCGGTCTGCTTTGATGATTTTAAAACTTTTCACCCATCCGAGCCTAAACAATAATCTTTTATCATGAGAAAGTACAACAAACGCCTAGCTAAATCTGACCAATTGTATTAATCCACTGGGTTAATAGCATTATCAAAGAGCATACGAGAAGTATTACTTTGAGTTGTCTGTTACAATATGAATTTCTCGCAATATGAATTTGTTGAAGAAATGATTTACAAACTGAAAAGTTAATAAGTGCGTATAAATGAACCGTCATGTATGTGAGGCTCTTAGTGAACTCTTCCAATTGATAATATAAGAATTGAGTATTCGATATATAAAAAAACACGAGAGTCAATATCATAAGAATTTAATGAGTCAAAACCAAACTGAGACTTTGTGGAGTAAAACACTTCTGCTCATTTGATTCCAGGCAAAGCTCGGCGCGGTCTTCACTTTCATTTCGTTGTTCTTTGATTTAGACTTCAGTGAATCGGTTACCTTAACAATCCATTGGCGTATTCCCTTTTTATTTCAAAATTTTTATCCAGTATATTTGTTTCAAACCACCCAATCTTCGAGGCTATAAATCAAGTTCATAATGTTAAGGTGTAAGTAAAGCTGTCGTACAACATACACAGGTTAGTGAGAACAGTTTATGTGTTGTAAGTCTTGTAATTTTGGCTAACAAGAATTGTTTACAAGAATAATTCAAAGTAAGAAATTTACCTTTCTTATAGGTAATGCAAGGGAGGATGTCCTCGCCAAGGAGTTCCACGATGTCTTCGTTACAAGGCACTTCACCGTATTTGCAGACAATTTCTAAATTATAGTCATTACCTTCCTCGTATGCATCGACAATGCTGAAGCTTTGCACCCATTTAAACCTTAATTAAAAATCACTATTTCAGGTGGTAAAGGAGGTTTAGGCAACAAACTCCTACATGTATTCACTTCACAGTGGATCTCAAAAACTTATAGCTATATCCCTTTTTCTACATATCGTAATTTTTCGTTCGTTAGAAATTTCATAAAAAAATTGTTAGATAAATTGATACATTTTTAAATTCCAAGTACCTGGCATCACGGTGCTATATTTATTATAAATTTAAAAATATTTAGAACCTAAATTTATGCATAAAAGGAGTGTTTGAATATATTCAAGGTAATGTCCAATCCAGTATAGGATCGTCAGAAAGACCTGCAAATCTGTATGGGGCGTTAATACTATTCGAGGAATACAACAGCGCTATTACATAGAACTAAATTCATTAGTTCTCTAATCTTCTGAAAATGTGCATGAGAATATAGATTTACCTCGCCATTTTTTCTTTATACTCTTTCTTCATCTCACCATTTTCGTGAAATGCACCCATATCAAACCACTTGTAAAATGCATTATTTCTTTCTTCGAAACCTGGAAATAACAAGTATATTCTAGGGATGAATAATAAATTCTTTTTTTAGAATAACTAAAAGAAATAACTTACATCCAATTCGGTTTTATAAAATTATAATGGTAACATTCCTCATAAAATTTGTTCTTCGTTGTTATACAACTAGTAAAGGTGACCACTAAATTCAAATAAGGTAGCCACGTGATTTGAAGATGATCTTAGTAAATTGGTTCCCCTTGATTAAATGCGGGGGTGTGGGGCTAAGAATATAGTAGTTACGTACAAAAAACCATCAGCTCCATCAGCTTCCACCAAAAAAAAATATTATTGATCTTTACCTGAGTCAACAGAATGTGTTTCATCTTCATCTGAAACTATCGGAGTTGATTCTTTTATGCCCGAATTCAGCGTGGAAGATAACATCGCTAGTTGGCTGTCTTCTATAACGTGATCAACTTTGACATCAGCAGATATGTGATCTTTATTATCAACCAATTTAACCGTGCCATCGTAGCTGCCAAATTCTTCTCTAGATTGAGCCCTACCATCAATATCGAATGTATTGTCATCATCTCCACCGGTGATCTTCATCACCGCTTCACAATCAGCCAAAGTAAATGTGCGACTCAGCGGTTTGTCGTACTCGAAAATATGAGGGTGGATTGGCTTTACCCAACATTTTTTGAAACGGTCGTACTTTTTTACGTCACACCAAATACCAGGAGCGCGCATTACTTGAAATCTAACTTTAATATTGGTAGCATTAGTTGGTAACAGAAATGAACTTTCACTATCTTCAATCTCATAATGTTTTGTTTCGCCGTTCTCTTGAAAATCAACAAGCATCTTGGAAAGCCAAAGTCCTTCAGAAATATACTTTAGTTGATGCTTCACTGGACCTGTGAAGTCGTCACTATTTGTCGTTTCGTCCACCAACGTCTTGTATCTTGGTAGACCACAATCAAACATCTCTCTAAAATATTCTCCTGTGATTTTTGTTACTTTTTCAAAATACAAGTTTCCATCCAAAGTGTACGTGCAACTCACTGGTTTGTCGTACTTGAAAATATGAGGCTTGGTTGGTTTTACCCAACATTTTTTGAAATGGTCGTACTTTTTCACATCACACCAAACACCAGGAGTACGCATGACCTGAAATTTAACTTTGATATTTGTAGCATTGTTTGGAATCAGAATCGAACTTCCACTACCATAACCCTCGTGATGTTTCTCTTCACCGTCCTCTTCGTAATCAACAAGCATCTTGGAAAACCAAGCTCCTTCAGAAATATACGTCATTCTTTGTCCCGCCAGTTGCGTACACTCATTATAATTTGTTTCTTCTTTTTCATAAGGTGGGGTTCTTTTCGTGAAGTCACGTTTCACATTTGTTTCTACTGGCATCGGCATATAAACCTGTAGAGTTTTATCTGATTTATCTGAGTTGCCTTTTGCATTTTCCCCACAATCGTCTTGTTTTATTTCTCTATTGGATTTTTGAAATTTATCACTCACATCATTACTGTCTCGAGTACTCTCTTCATTATCACTGGTCGTCGTGATTCCATCTTTACCAACCGTTTCTTTCGCATTCCTTGCCGCTGATTTTGTACTATTAGCATAGTTTTTCGTTTCATCACACGTTTCCTCAGATATATCATGAAATGCTTCATTGGATTTAGCTTCCATCCCTGTTATATCTTCTCCGTCTTCGATTATTTTTGGAACTTCATTATCCATCATCGTGAAATGATTTTCAACCGCAATTGCCGCTAGTCTTGCACTATTTTTTATATCGTCCTCTACGGAGTTATTTTCGACATCATCATCGAGATGTTCAATAAGGTTGGCAAAAGTTTCCACTGCTATTTTTGTAACGACTTCAAAACGATTATGTGTGCTAGAGGAAATTACTCTCTCAAATGCTGCTGCTACGTCTTTTGCTGAAACCAGCTTTTCGATCATGTTTTCTGTCAGCCCTCCTCGTAGCCCCGCAATTCCTCCTAATAATGCATCAGTTAAGACATGTAAAAGAAATTCTTCCCAGGTTATTTTCTGCCCATCTGCAAGGACTGCGTCTAGATTATTTGCAACGGAATTGGTAAAGCCGCGAAAAACATTCCTAGTCATCGTTATCGCAATTTGCCGTTCAAGAGAAAGTTTAGCATCTTTCAATGCAAGCTTTGCTTCTCCATCCAATAACTTAGTAATCTCAGCAACTCCTGCCCCCATTGCTGCTCCACCATCAGCACCGATCATTAAACTAATAAAGTATTTTTTAAAAGCCTTAGCTTTGTCTATCAATTCTCGTGATCTACTTGAAATCCCGCATCTAAAAGTTGCTCCGGCTATTATCCCAAGAACAACGGGTCCAGACATGCCTGCTGTTACGAATGTTAAACCAATCCCCGCCGTTACCAGGACACTCGAGAGAATCAATAATCCCATTCTCTTTCGATACTGTTTCTTCTGTTCATCGCTGTAACATTCTGGCTTAAATACTTCCCCCCATCGCGCTTGCGAGCACCAACCTTTGTCATAATCTGCGACGTTATTATACGCGGCTCGGGCTTCGGGATCTTTGAGGATATCGTAGGCATTGATGATCTTTTGACAAATAGCTTTATCGCCATTCCCAGGATTCCTGTCAGGATGCCAACGCCGAAGTTGAGAATAATAAGCCTTCTTTATAATCTCGTTCTGTTCTTCGATGGATTTCTTGCGAACTTCTTTCATATTGAGGCCCAGAATTTCGTACAAGTTCTTCATTCCAGACGCTGAAACTTCTTCTTTCATATAATTTCGACGTAAACAAATTTGTTTTTCCTTCGGGAATTCTTCATCCTTTACTTGTATGTCATCATCACCACTGACTCGAAGCAATATATCCTTTTCCCACATGATTGGACCCCAAATAGTAATATTCTTTTTTTCAGGGGGTGCTGTGAGTTCAAATCGAAAAGTTGTTTTTCTGTGAAACAAGAAGCTTTCACCTCCATTTACAATGAAACTGAGCGATAAAAAAGGACTTTTACTCCAATTTTGGAGTATATACAAAGTGACGGCATGAGGTGACTTGTTGTCAACCAGGATCATCTTCAAATGTTCGCCCTATAATTTTAAAATTACATATATGAGTGTTAAATATTATTCACCGCGCATTGCTGTCGCGATAAAACTTATGAAAATGTAATAAAATATTTCATAGAAACAGGATGTGGTATCTTATGTAAGTATGATTTGGAAATCGAACAATACTTTTCTCACTCACTCAATACTTTTTATCACCTAAGATACACTGTCATTTTGTAGGTTTTGATCCATTTTACAAAATACAATGTTCGCGCAAATAGTTTTATAAATTGAAAATAAAAATATGTGCTATATATATGCGTTCAAACTATGACTGCCATACCTCGGCCATAGCATAGAATCAACTAAAACCTTTGATATCTTGAAGATTGGATGTCTTTTAACTTATTTAGTACTTCTTTTTCCACGGAAATGTTAATCTAAATATTGAATAAAAAAGTAAAAAGGAATAAATACAGGCATATTAGTGAAATAGGCAGCCCGGTTCTTGATGACATTTTGAACTATACTTTTGCTTGATCGTAAATTGTGTATAATTACTGCGCTGTACATTACGCTGGACGTCGATAATAATAGTCATCATAGCTGGAATGGTGAAAAGAGGAATGACAGAAATAAGCCATATAGCCTATAGCTATGAAATCACTTTCTACCACTATTTTTCGGCCATAAATTTAAACAAACGCTTTGTTTACATTCTGAACCTATATAAATTTCCGGGAAAACAAGATACATAGTGTGTATAGGTTACACAATATTGCTTTGGTATGCATTTTGAAGGAGCTTTTTGCGTTCAGAAAATTTCGTAACATTAGAAATTTGAAACCATGTGGGCCTCACATGAGCAGAAACGATGCTTAAAAAATGGCCATGACTTCTGAAAGGATATAGCTACGTCCGCATATAATATATTTTCCTGTTGATAAAACTACAGGATTTTTATTTTTATGCACTCGACCTTGAGTGAAACATGTCGAAACCTTCAACACTGCTTTAAAAGACGGAAATCATGAGATCAGATTACCTGCGTCAGGTGCAGCAATATCCGTCACGATAACTCAAAAAGTAATAAAGCTAACTTCATAGAATTTTCATGGTTGACTTTAAAGACAGTTGGCTGGCAGGTGAACTTTTGCAATCTGTTGAGTCTAAGTAAAATAGCGACTGATTATTTCAGATAGATCGCAGAAGTTTTATATTTATAGCCTGTAAAAGTTTTTATTTATTTGAGGTTAAGCTCCGAGGCAAAAATATAAAACAATTACATCGTTATAGCGTTAAAACCTAGTTTGATTTTCAATGTTTGTTTCAATGTTTGACAACTCCCTTCCCTGCTCTGCAGTCATAGCTGCTTGCATGCATGTAATAAAGGTATGATAGAAATATTTTGAAATAGAATTGAATATTCCTCAGAGTTGAAGACTAACTTGGAGACCTGAGTAGCGGTTCACAAATCGACCTTAAACTGACAAAGCTTTCCTGGGAAATGTGAATTTCTGTGAAGAAATATATTTTATATAGCTATAGCCTATACTTATCGTTCTCAAATTCCAAATGAACAAAATTAATTTAATTTTGGAAAATACGAATTTATTCAATTCATTTCCTCGATCAATTAACTTTCATGCAAATGTGGTTTAGCGACTGTTCGGTGACAAACTTCTCCGGCGAAGTTATTGTATATTATGTAAAGCCACACATTATATGCAAAGATATTTGATTCAATTCTTAGCTATGAAAATTTGGTAGGTATTTGGTGGATATAATTTTAAATCCGGACAATTCGCATCCGTTAAAATGATTATTCCTAACAATTACGAGAAAATATAGAAACCAGGCTCAAACAAAATTGAAAATTCACGTAACTTAAAGGAATATAATTACCATTTATAAAAATCAAAACTATATACAAATTAATTATTATAGTATAACACTTATAGTACGCGCGTGCTGATTGGTTGAGAAGTGTGTTTCTAAAACTGTATAGAAACACGGGAATTTTCCCGCCGAACTTGACAAGCAAAGTAATGTAATGAGAATTTGTAATTGAATCGAATTATAATATTTGTACAAAATCTGTTTATCGAGTTATCCTGAGCGGGCGCGGAACGCCTTCAAGGGTACTAATTCCGCTCGAAGATTAGAGATTACACCCGGAATCCGGGAGGACATAGCGGAATCCAAAGTTGTCCAAATTCTATGTCATGGACGGTCGACGTTTGGTCGTTTTGTAAGTTATGCGCATGCACGCGCAAGTAACGACTGGTAATCAAGACTAAGACAGAAGTTTGTATTTTAATGAGAACGTCAGCAATTTAACTGTTATTTCGTAAACCTTTTTGTAAAAGCCTTTCATGAACTTTGTGCAAAATAAAACGAGAGAAACAAGATGTATGAAGCATGACAGTTAGCAAAGATGAACATGGATACAGTCAAGACAAAGCCGTGTAAGAGAAATAATTCATAATCTGCAAGCTTATAACTGTTTTCAAAGAGTACGCGTTTAATTTGTTTACCGTGGGACACAAAGGTGTGAAAAGACCCCATCAAAGTTTTATGACTTTAACATTATAGTGATATTCATCGTTGTCATGGACCCTATTAGAATTAGCAACCATGCAGCCTCTATCCTTATTGAATGTTGTAACTTGAAAATTCTTTCATGTTGTCTGAAGCTTTACTCTATGTTTGTCTGATGTAAAGGTAAAAATGAGCAAAAATTGAGCAGAAAACATCGCCCCATGCAGCTTTACTTTTTTACAATAAACGGAAATGAGAACAGCTGTAGGTATAGCGCTATAGCCATATCATACGCAATTTTCATGTTGCTTGGTTTTATCCGTCTTCTAATGCTTTTCATCCCGAGACCATGCATTCAAACCAATCCAATAAACATGTTACATCACTTACATGTAAATTTCAATACAGAAGCGATATTTTTAATATATTTTCCGGGCAATTTTATCCGCAAAAGCCGCGTGAATATAGCGCTAAGCCTATGATTTCGTCTCTCTATATATCGATTATCGTAGTGCCTACCTACAGTACGCTAATGTTCTCAAGCGTTTACAGATACAAACAGCATCAATTGACTAGTAAAATTAAAGTATATTGTGGAAATACGTTCCAATATAACCAGGGACTATAGCGTGGCAGCGTCTTCAAACAACTTAGCATCAAATGTGGACGTGTAACAACTGCCTAAAATAGACAAAACACTTCTCGACGTTTCGACCTGAGGGCCTTCGTAACTTCGCCGTACTATCTCTCCTGCTTAGTTACATTAAAACACTCGAAAACTACGTACATGAACCCATATCTTCCCTAGGAAACTGCATGCAGTGGATAATTTAATCCTACGAAGTTCGAAACTAACCTTGTGCTGAAGCCAATGGCAATTATTTCTTTCAGATGTCTTCTGGAATATCAACTTTTACTGATGCTTTTTCTCGGAACTTCGATATATATTCCGTTAAACTCAAGATATTGTATGCCGAATCAATTTTCTGAACTAACTTTTGTTTCACCTGTTCAACACATTTCTTATTTATTGCATGCGAAAGAAAATTTGCATGAACACGCAATTAAATGAAATTGCTATCATGTTTCTAAGGAACTAAATGCATGGACCCAGCTGGAAGCAGTTGCTACGAGAGACGAACATTTTCCATTTTAAATTTAATTTTGTATTTTGACAAAACCTAAAAACTAAAAATATTTCAATCCAGAAAGCAATGTTTTTTGTGCTTTTGAAAAATTTGCATAGACATGCGATTGAATAAAGTTGTTATTGGTTTTGAAAAATTATTTAGAAAAATATTGCGTCACTTGACCTTACAATAGGCCTAACTGCAAGGTTGCCCCTCGTGATCAGTAGTTTAATTACAATTTATATTCTTTACTGCCACTGTTAAAAATATTATTAATTGAATTCCTCGGAGCTAAAGACTAACTGGAAGAGCTGAATTGTTTCCTAAAATTTTTTCGTTATGTTGACCTCAAACTGACAAAACGTTCCTGCGAAATGTGATCCTATACGCGTCCAGAAAAGTTTTTAACAGCAGGCCTCTTTTAAAATCAGTGGGCTCTCTAAGCATGCAGAAACGATGCGCCGAAGTCGCGAATGCGATGTTAAAGAAATCATAAATAGAAAATAAAGATTGCCGGTGTTATTCAATGTATTTTTTTGCTTTTGCATGCTTACAAAAACTTACTTATTAACAAACAAATGGTTGTTAAATACGACTGAAATTATAACTGAACTTACTGAAGCACAAAATCAAACTCTGATTTATAACTATGACACACAAAGCATAAAGCCATTGTCCACAAAGGCGCAGTGATAGCTACTACCATCACTTATACACAACGTCCGTGCCAAGTTGTTATATATATTCGTTTACAATAAATAACTTATAGGAGGTTGGTTAAGATCGACTTCCGATACCAATATTCAGTCTGGCGCATGCGCAGACGTAACAGTCCTCTAAAATGTGTGACACTGAAAGTCGCAAGACGCGAGTACAGTTTTGGGGCTGAAAATCATGGAAATGGATAGGTAGGCGCCGAAGCATCGAATTATATTTACTGTATTATTGTCATTTTCTGCAGTACTTTTCTAATAATATTATTTAGTTTTTAGTTGTATAATGTTTCTGCTTTATTTGGTGAGGATTTTGATTAGAGTTTTGATGTGAATATAGGCGCTATATACTCGGCGCCATGTTTATTTATTTCTTACAGAAGTCGCAATCTTAACGCCTTAAAATTTCCGCGCTGCCAAACAGTGATATGTCATGTATTTTCGTATCGGTACTGATAGTGGACGTAGATCTTAACCTCCCTATTATTCGTTTGTAGATACATACTGTTTACTTACATTATCGCTTACATTATTGCTGATATGATTACTTCTACATCTATTTATAATAGGGTGCTGAAAGGTGCTGATATATTTAACAATTATATCCACCATGCATGCAATTACTAAATGCTTGCTTCCATATTTATTGCTGAGATATTTATATTTACCATGCACTAACCAAAATTATCTGATATAATGGCCGTACGAACCACGGGGGCAGGGGGGCTTGAGAACTTTTAGAAGCAGAGGGCTAAGCCCCCCTGAGAATTTCCCCAAATCCTGGACCGTTGCACAGTGCACACGTTTTGAGTTTGCAACAATGACCTTAGCTAGCGTTACCTCGTTTAGGAGACAGCTGGACCCCCCCCTGGACCCCCTACTTGTGCCCCACGCCTTCGGCGCTAGAGGATTAGCCCCCCTAACTTTAAACATCTTCCTACGGCCCTGTCTGATATAATTTAATTTATTTGTTCCAATGCACTTGCTAATTGTTGGTTATCCTTATTATCGTTTATTGGAGCATGATGTACCTGCATTTCATCGTACAGTCACTACAGTGTGTCCCAAAAAAACCCAAAACTGTTGAAATCAAATTTAAATTACCTATGCACGATTTTTTTTTCCGTGGGGATTTAACACAACCTATAAAATGCTAAATACAGCTAGAGAAGGGGACATGTTGAAGGTCATGGTAAATTTAAATATTGTTATCAATCCATTTCTGTACCCATTCTAAAGTACCCTACAGGGTGTTACACTGTTATGGGTGATTTAAGTAGTTTTGGGTTTGGGGGCCGGGGACTCCCTTTTTTCTTTCCTTGGGGTATCATTTTATTTTTACCTATAGTAATATAGGTTTACTGAGGTATTATTTTAGATTTACCATGCACTTACTAAATGTTTACTAAGGTATTATTTTATATTTACCATGCACTTGCTATATGTTTACTGAGGTATTATTTTATATTTACCATGCACTTGCTATATGTTTGCTAAGGTATTATTTTATATTTACCATGCACTTGCTATATGTTTGCTAAGGTATTATTTTATATTTACCATACTCTTGCTATATGTTTACTGAGGTATTATTTTATATTTACCATGCACTTGCTATATGTTTGCTAAGGTATTATTTTATATTTACCATACTCTTGCTATATGTTTACTGAGGTATTATTTTATATTTACCATGCACTTGCTATATGTTTACTGAGGTATTATTTTATATTTAC